ATATATATTCAGTATGTCCGAGTATGTGGAGTGTGCCCTGGAGTGGATAATACTGGGATGCGATCCTGTGTGTCGGGTTTATGAAGCGATGGTGCTCCGAGGTGTGTCAAAACACCCAGGTCACGCTGGTTGATTTAAAGTTTTGGTGCGTTTCAATCCAGCTGAGTGGAAATAGCTAAGCACTTGGGAAAAGAGGATAACCTACCTACGGACAACCTTACAGTTAGACTACAAAACGCGAATCTCACATCGCCACGGCGTGTTGCCTTGTTTTGTGCCGGTCATTTTAAGAGCGTCCTGTGAAAAATGTCCCTAAAGGGCTACTAAAGACGCTAAGTTTCTGTTTTGTAATGACAGTTGTGAAGCTCTTAGCCTTGTGGCTATTTTTGTTTCACTTTCACAATCTGTCACTAACATTGAATAAAATGTTCAGAAAATGCTAATAGTTTTAGATTTTTTTGTTTGAAATTAATTGTTAATTATATGAGTATTATAAGGACTCTGAATCTCATGATGTTCACATAAGTCTGTCCCAATGTTGCATCATTCACAGTAAAATACAATGCCTGGCCAAAAAAAGACGCCAACTGGATTTAACTAACCAAATAGGTACGAGCCTCATATTGGTTAATTACTGCATGGGCGATTATCTTTGAGCTGGCAACAAGTTATTTAACTCCAACTGGTTCCTTGACTAGCTTCTCATTTCATAAACAACCATGTCGAAAGACACATCTCGTAGTTGTGGAAAAGCTGTTAGTATGTTTGAGAAGGGTCAAATCATTGGCATGCATCAAGCAGAGAAAACATCTAAGGAGATTGCAGAAACTACTAAAATTGGGTTAAGAACTGTCCAAAGCATTATTAAAATGTGGAAGGATAGTGGGGACCCATCGATTTCAAGGAAGAAGTGTGGCCAGAAAAAAATCCTGAATGCTTGTGATCAGCGATCACTTAAACATTTAATAAAATCAAATTGAAGAAAAATAAGAAAAAGAAAAACAACAGTAGAACTGATTAAAAGTGAAAGTAAGAGCATTTCCACATGCACAATGTGGAGGGAACTGACGGGGTTGGGACTGAACAGCTGTGTAGAAGCATTAAAATTGGACTCTGGAGCAATGGAAGAAGGTCATGTGGTCTGATGAGTCCAGATTTACTCTTTTCCAGAGTGATCGGCGCATCAGGGTAAGAAGAGAGGCAGAAAAGTGATGCACCCATCATGCCTAATGCCTACTGTACAAGCGTATGGGGGCAGTGCTAGAGCAGGGCGATATGACCATCACGTCACGATATACATTTGAAAATCTGCGATAACGATATAACTGACAATATAATTGACACTAGACAAAATACTTTACAACTCCTCAACTTTATTATTGCAAAAAAACCCATCAATGTATTTTCACTTAAACAAGCAGCTTTTGTTTAATGTGCATTAAAGTTATATAGAAAATTTAACGGTGCAAATGCAAATTCCTTGCTGACAGTTTAACCAAAAGGCATTTCCAGTGGAAATTGGCCGACATATCCTCAGCATAACCATGTATAATATCCACAAAACTTAAAAAGACCTTATACACACACAATACAGTAATATTATGTTGAAGCACAGTACATATCACTCCGCGAGGCTCCTGCCTACGATAGCAGTAATGCTCCGACAATCCATCAAGCGGTGCGGCTTCATAGCTTAGCAAAGTTGTACTGAAACATTTGACAGATTTTCGAGCGCCGTGTACATAAAATCGTTTCGAGGTCAGTAAACACAACCAGAATTCATACATAAGGCACACGGGATTATAAGGGGCACTGTCGATTTTCAGAAAAATCAAAGGATTGATTTTAAATGCCGTATTTTCCAAAAAACACGGCAATAACGAGGGCCCGCTAGCATGCTCTACCAAAACTAGTGCTTTGTTGTGTATCTGACGGACGAAAGCTAAACCAGTCCCACACTACTGAAGTTCCAGCATTTTTACAAACCAATTCTGGTTCATCCGTTTCATTCAACGATCCACTTTCGCTCTTCTCATTCTGCGTCGCCGCCATGTGCGTATGTAAACATAGGCACTGCGCATGCACGTTTTACCCATATTCTATTGCCATATTTCATTTTCCTATCGTTGCCCAACATTACACCGGTATTACCATGAACGGTATGATATAGCCCAGCCCTATGCAGTGCTAAGATCTGGGGTTGCTGTAGTTGGTCAGGTCTAGGTTCAGTAACAGTATGTGATCCAAGAACGAGGTCAGCTGACTACCTGACTATACTGAATGACCAGGTTATTCCATCTATAGTTTTTTTCTTCCCTGATAGCATGGGCATATTCCAAGATGACAATGCCACGATTCATCGGGCTCAAATTGTGAAACAGTGGTTCTGGGAGCATGAGACATCATTTTCACACACGAATTGGCCACCACAGAGCCCAGACCTTAACCCCATTGAGAATCTTTGGGATGTGCTGGAAAAGGCTTGGCACAGCGCTCAGACTCTACCATCAACAATGCAAGTTCTTGGTGACAAATTAATGCAACACTGGATGGAAATAAATCTTGTGACACTGAAGAAGCTTATCGAAACAATGTCAGCACTGAATTTGTGCTGTAATCAAAGCTAAAGGCAGTCCAACGAAATATTAGACTGTGTGACCTGTTTTTTTGGTACAGACTTTTTTTTTGGCCTCACAGTGTATTTCCAGCTATAAATGAAGTGTTTATTCGGTCTTTGTTGTCCATACACAGATACACAGAGTAAGATATTGAAGTGTTTTGTTTGAATAGATACGTCCTCCAAGGAGTTAATATGTAAATTACCAGATATTAACTTAAGTTAATATTCAGTTAATGTGTTCTGTTTCAATAAAATCCTGTTATTTTTTAGAAACAATTGTTGTGGCTCACTTGTAAACACTCAGCGTGAGGAACAAGTGAAGAGTTTTTGGACAGAACCAGAATTTTTAGCAATGTGCCTGTTGGAGCCAAGTCCAGGCCAATATTTTACTCAGTTACATCATGGCATATTTAAGTATTTGTCATGATCTTGAAGTTTCTATTATAATCTTGATCATTTTATGTTATATATATGTTATATAGGCTGTGCTCCATAAATTAATTCTGCTTTGTTAGTCTGTTGTTGTTCTAAAGTGTTGATAGATGTCGTAAAGGGGGTGTGTATTTGGCCCGCGTGCGGAGGGGTGTGGGTAAAAGGTTCGGTAAGCAAGCAGGACGTGGAGCAATGGTTTTCTGACCGTCGCTGTTTTAATGTTTTTTTGTTGTAACATAAAGGGAATGTAAACGGAGCTCCCACCAGAGGCATTTGTTTTGTACCTTTCGATTTGTATGGAAAATAAATGTTTTGCCCCTTTTTTCCTTCGCCTCGTTTTTGCTACCGGAAGGCATCCAAGCGACTTAACAAGAGCACGAGTCAGAAACTTTACGTCCTGCAGAAGCGGCAAAGAAGGACCGAAGGTTGCCGCTACAGTACCCACAGTTTTGAGTCATCCATGTAAACTGCTGATCTCAAAAAAATTTCTCTCAGTTTCTTCCTGAACTTTGTAAAACTCTAGATGAATGGGCATTTTTTAGACTTCTGTCCTTCATAAAGCATTTGTTTTCCACACAGTAATAACAAGCAGTGAGTGAGAAAGTGAAGGCCAGGTGGTGAGCTGTCTCATTCCTGCCGTTTGTATTCACCTTCCTGATAGCATTTTCTACATTAATATCTGTGTAAACCTGTTTTTGTCTCAGAATCTTTGAAGTGACAATGGCACCAAACCTTGCACCAGTTGGAGGCATCGCTCTTTTTCTGAGCTTAGGCTTTGGCCTCCATCTCATATACCAGTTATACCAGGTCATGAAGCAGCGGGAGAAGCCTCACAGACAGGTGAGAGGGTAATCAAGATTTACTGCAACAGGTTTTGTCTTCAGATATTTTTGTGTCTCACCTTAATGCAAATGATTTCTGATTCTTTTTCATGTTTAATCTCAGATTTGCTGATGTGCAGGTATTAACTGATCATTTCAGTGAATATTTAATATTTAATGCCTTTCTTTTGATTTGTAAAGATAATGACATTTTTAGAATTATACTTTAAAAACATCTTGAGTAATAACTACACAGAACAAGTTTTTGTGCAAACAATAAAGAAGACAATCATAAACACAGTTCATGTCAGCACCACTCTGAATCACTCAGTCTGAGCACAAATATCTAAACTGAATGGATTGAAGTTGCTCATAATCAGGTCTGCTAGGAAGGTTTTACAGTAGGATGAACATTTTTAACAGGATGTCGCCAAAACTATGTAGGTTCCAGAAATCTCTCCTATCACCTTTTCCTAACCTCTTTTCTTTCACCTTGATGAAAGCATTAGAGGTTAAGGAAGAGTGGGTACGAAAATTCACGAAGACTTTGTGAGTCCTGCACTGAGAGTCTGTCGAATTGATGCTATGACTGTAGTGATGTGGGCACTGTACTGGTCCGTCATGATCATGATCACCGTTTTTTGGTGTATTTTAACTTTCATCCTGTATCCTAAGGAGATTGAAAGTAAAGCAACTGGGAAACCAGCTACTTTTCTTTCCAAGCTCCTTAGATTGCCATGACCCAGATGACTGAGAACCTACACATACACATTTCATCCTGTATATTTTATTTAAAAAAAGTCTCCTGCTGATGAGGACAGTATGATGCTGAGATAGAGCACATAGAGCACAGGCTGAGTCTTTGATTTGTTTCTGGTTTTGTGTCTTTCAGGAAACGACGAGGACAGGTCAGAATAAAGCTAAAAATGTTAAACTCTCTGCATATGAACAACGCATTGACGCTCACCGGGTTGACCCGCAGGCCATGCAGGTAATCTCACTTTACGCTATGTGTTGTTTAAACTGAAGCTGTACATATAAACAACAGAGAACTGACAGTACCCAGTACTGGCACAAACAGGAAGTGTGGGTTTTTTTTTTTTCCTCCATCAGCACTAGCAGGCAATATTCATCCAGATTTTTTCCTGTGTGCAGATCACATGGAGGGATATCGCAGGTCTGGAGGAGGTGATCAATGAGCTAATGGAGAAAATTATCTTCCCCGTTCAGAACAGAACTCTGTTCAGGGAATCCCGACTGCTGCAGCCACCCAAAGGTCAGCAATCATTCACTTTTTTGTTGTTGTTCAGGATTCCTATCAGCATCAGCCTTTGCCTGATTCTAATGGGTCTTAGACGGGATACAATATTGCCTTAATCAGGGCACCCACAGAAACTTTAATCAAAATCTACATAGGATGCACAGCTTTTAATCATTGCATTACATCTGTACTAGATATAAACAATAAACATTTGTTGTTTGCTGTAATTTCCATTTTGATTATATTGTCATCTGCACTCTTTTACTTTAGTTCCAAGATCCAGATTATAAGTTTACTTTTGTTCTGAATATGTAGCAGACATGTTCTTTCCAAGGGTGGACATAAGAGGGCGGTGACAGACTGGACTGGGGTGGCTATAGCTCAGGTGGTATGGCAGGTCAGCCACTAACCAGAAGGTTGGTGTTCAATCTGTTCCAGTCTTGCCTTGGGCAAGATACTGTTGCTCTCCGATGCATCTATCGGAGTGTGAATGGGGGCGAATGGGTGAATGAATTTGTTGTATAAATAAAGCGTTTTCAGTGCTCAGACAGAGTAGAAAAGCGACAGCTGACTGGGTGGTCAAGGCTCACTAGAACCGACGAGAACAGCGAACTCCCGGCACATTATTTTCAGACCCCCCGCGGTATTACGCTACTCAGGTTAAACATGATATTTAGGAGTCAAGTTTATTTATATAGCACATTTCCAACAGTCCGTGTGGCACAAAGTGCTTAACAATGTAAAATGCCAGCAAAACAAATAAATACAATAAGTCAATAAAAACAACTAAAACTGTTAAAACCAAAATGCTTGGGTCAAAGTGTGTTAAAAACCAGACCATAAAAATGTGTCTTCAGTAACGATTTAAAGAGATCAAGTGTTTGTGCAGATCTAATATATAAGGGAAGACTATTCCAAAGTCTGGGACCTGCCACAGAGAAAGCTCTGTTAACATGAGACTCCGTGGAATGGATAACATTAGTTTTGAACTGGATCTCATGGTTTTCTCTGGAGCATAAATAAATAGAAGCTCAGACAGGTAAGAAGGGGTTTTGGCTGTTAAGTGCCTTAAAAACAAAAAGAAAAAGTTTAAATTGATATCCTGTAAGAAACAGGGAGCCAGTATAGAGAGGTTAAAACTGGGGTTATATGCTCCTTCCATTTAATGCCAGTTAGCAGATGAGCAGCTGCATTTTGGACCAGCTAGAGACGATAAATAGAGGCCTGGTCCAGACCAAAGTACAAAGAATTGCAGTAGCCCAGTATTCAAGCAATAAAGAGATGAATAACACGTTCAAAGACATTAGCTGGAAGGTTTTTACGGAAGGAAGGAAGTTGTCTTGGCTAGTTGTCTTAGATGAAAAAAGCTGGATTGGACTACTGCGCTCAACACAACTGCCTACACAGTTTGAAGGAACCATCAAGGTGAGGTTTTTTACATTTGTCTTACAATAGGAGGAAAATAGGCCCACATAATCAATGTGATTATTAATGAAGTTACCAAAAATGACAACTTCTGTTTTGTTTTCATTTAATATTAAAAATTTTAAAGACATCCACTGTTTGATGTCATCAAGGCAGCGTAATAGTAGCTGAAGTTGGTCTGTCCCTGCTTTTAAAGGCAGATAGATCTGCAAGCCATCTGCAAAACAGTGGAATGAAAGGTTGTACCATGAGAAAATAGACCCCAGTGGCAACATATACAGCACAAACAAGGCAGGACCCAAAATTGAGCCTAGACGTACACCATAATTAAGAGGGGCTATTTTGGAGCTATGGGGCCTATGTTAACATAAAAACGCCTTCCTGATAAATAGGACAAAAACCACTGGAGAGCAGACCCTTTTAGCCCAGCATATAATTAATAGCAGGATATCATGGTCAACCGTGTCAAAGGCTGCTGACAGGTCTAACAAGAAGAGGGCAGCAGGAGTGCCAGAATACAGAGTTAAAAGAATATTGTAACTCGCTCCAAGTTGAAAAACGGACACAAGGCGTTCTTGATTTTCACTGGCATTTATTGCACAAAGGTCCCACCAACGATGCTGTGAAAACTGTACAAACAACATAAAATAGTCAATTTCCACAGTAAATTGTTCTCATAGAGCATAAACAATAAATTTTATTATTCAACAACATAAAAACATTCACAATTTGACCTTTACAAAATGTCAACATATTACACGTGACTAACATAAACTCGACAGTTTTGTCACAAACAGACATCTTATTTTTCTACCAACAAATTGCATACCTCATTGGCCGCATTTATTTGAAGCGGTTAATGAAAATGGATCTTGCAGTGCACACTCTTTCCCACAGCTGGAAAACTTTGTTGCATGGTCTATAGTGGTGCAACGGATCAGAAATCTCACGGTTCAGATCGGACCCTATTAGAGCACTTCGCTCTCGCTCTGCAGGCCTACTTGTTGTTCCTGGAGTATTTAAAAGTAGAATGGGAGGGAGAGCCTTCAGTTTGCAGGCCCCTCTTCTGTGGAACCAGCTTCCAGTTTGGATTCAGGAGACAGACACTATCTCTACTTTTAAGATTAGGCTAAAACTTTCCTTTTTGCTAAAGCATATAGTTAGGGCTGGACCAGGTGACCCTGAATCCTCCCTTAGTTATGCTGCAATAGATGTAGGCTGCCGGGGATTCCCATGATGCATTGAGTTTTTCCTTTCCAGTCACCTTTCTCACTCACTATGTATTAATAGACCTCTCTGCATTGAATCATATGTGTTATTAACCTGTCTCTCTTCCACAGCATGTCTTTATCCTGTCTTCCTTCTCTCACCCCAACCGGTCGCAGCAGATGGCCCCGCCCCTCCCTGAGCCTGGTTCTGCCGGAGGTTTCTTCCTGTTAAAAGGGAGTTTTTCCTTCCCACTGTTGCCAAAGTGCTTGCTCATAGGGGGTCATATGATTGTTGGGTTTTTCTCTGTATCTACTGTACAATATAAAGCGCCTTGAGGCGACTTTTGTTGTGATTTGGCGCTATATAAATAAAATTGAATTGAATTGAAGAAAGAAAGGTTGGAAACAGAAGGAAAAGAAGGACGCTAGGAAGGGGTCAAAAAGAAGTTTAGTAGAAAGAGCAAGGTACACGTGTATTTAGAAAATTTAACCAGAAGTAAAATCAGTATAGAAAACTCATAAAAATATATAATTTCAAGCTCATGTGCCTCATCTGCCCTATAGTCATTACAGATTTATTATGGGAAAAGGGATGTTTTGTATTTTTATTGTAGTAGTTTGCTTTTTAACAATCAGCAAAATAATATAAAATAAAGTAAGCTTTAAAATAAATAGGGGTAGCCAATCATATTTCTTTGGGGTCTTTAGCAACTGACTCTGAATAATATTTAAGATTTAAGGGGGAAAAAAAAGAAGGAAGTAGTGCAGGGAAAATGTTAAGGAAGGAAGAAGGAAAGAAAAATCAGAAATAATAAAAAATGAAAAATGGGAAGAAGTGACAAACAATATTTTAACCAGTGTATATTCCCATTGTCTTCACAACAGGTGTGCTGCTGTATGGACCCCCAGGATGTGGTAAAACACTCATTGCCAAGGCGACAGCAAAAGAGGCAGGCTTTACTTTCATCAACTTGAAGCCGAGCACACTGACAGATAAATTTTACGGAGAGTCCCAGAAACTGACTGCTGCTGTGTTCTCACTGGCGTCCAAATTAGCCCCAACGATCATCTTCATTGACGAGATAGGTGAACAAGACATGCACGCACACATTAAGTTGACTAAAACAAACCAAGTTTCAGTTGACTACAATCTGATAACATTTAGTGGCAATATTTCCATACTCTACCTTAAAATTTTGACATAAGAAAATTCTAAACAATGGTATGTGCTTTTTAAATAAAAAAAATAGTAATAATAAAATATAAATTAAAAATATAAAGAAACCGATTTTGCTTTTAGTGAACTTGGTCTGCACAACCAGTGCAAAGAGAGACGTTAATGTGCTTTAATATTTGGCCTTAATTATATGCATTTTGACAAATACCATAGACAATACATAGGGGTGGGTTTTGATGATCAATTTATGGATTAAAATCGATTCTAGCTTGGATAACGTGATATCGATTCATTAAAACCCTGAATCGATTTTTCAATATAAATTTATTTTGCCCAAAACGCCAGAATCTCAGGTTAAACCTCACAAAATTTCAACAACCACCAAACAGCTAAAACAGTAAATGAGAGCAGGTACACTGATTGTGCACAAAGACATAATCAGTGAGATGTTGCAGCACGGTCACGGTCTGGGCTGAAAGCCGACAGCTCGCTGATTCTGATGTTTCGGCGGGTCCACGCTTTGTGTTCACGCCATTTTTGCATTTCATCTTGAAGCTGCAGGTTTTATCTCTCTTCAAACAATATTGACTGAACCAGCCGCAAAAGATGATCCAAACTACGCTTCACATAAACATCGTCATGAATTCCTTTTTACTTTTGCTGTTTTGCTTCTACCATGATAAAATCACACTACATGCGCAGCTCTATTTCTCTCTCACACACACACAGTGTACTTCAAGAACAGTTTCCCGTCTAATAATCTGTTTAATTCTGCATTATTCGCTTGCTTGTTATACACAAGTCTACTTTTATTACAGCGCTGTCGGTCGCTGTTTTTTTCCTTTTACTTACTTCCGAAAAGAAAACCTGATTTCTGCTGTTCAATACTGAACAAATTTAGCCCACGTCCACACGTACACGGGTATTTTTGAAAACGGAGATTCTCTGCTTTCGTTTTAAAAAATAATCCCGTCCACACGTAAAGGCAGAAATGAAGGAAAACGCTGCTAGGAACATGCCAAAGCAACAGGTGGCGATATATTCCTAACCGTGCAGAAATGTTGGCCAATCAGAAGTCTACAAGCCTCGGTGGGAAAAAGTAAACAAAGCTGGGGCATAGAAGCAGAACCGAGCCGTATGTGTGGATGGAATATGAATATGTAAGCATTTAAACACTGCAGAGAGTACAATTAACAGTAACAGTATTGTAGAAATTCATTTCACCGAAACAATAACGTGGCGCACAGTGTGACGTCAAAAAATGCGCACATCTTTGACGCTGCGTTTTCTCCGTTTTTCTAGTCCACGTGTAAATGCAAAAACTGATTTTTCAAAAATCTTCGTTTTCAGTGACCAAAAACGCCGTTTACGTGTGGACGAAAGGTGCAAACGCATAGAAAAATCTGCGTTTTCAAAAATAACCGGGTACGTGTGGACGTAATCTTAATCCCTTTAAAATTATGCAAAATTGCAAAAAAACTTTGCTGTGTCTCTAATAAAACCTCTGTAACTTTGCTCTGCTTCACTTCTACAGAATCAGCTAATGTTCATATGGTGATCAATGGTTTTCTTTCGTTTTTGATCTACTGCAGAATATTTTTATAAAATCCCAGGCCTGGAAAATCACCTTCATGTTTTTCTGTGTTTTATCCTCAGCTACTTTAACACAAAGGCATCTGTTGTGATGCTCACACCTTTGATAAAGTCTCGCAAGCGTCAGCTTTCTTTTTATAGATATAAAAATATGGAAATGTACTGATATGTGATCAGAATTATAATATTTCTGACTGTCTGAGGCAAAATTTCCCCAATTCAAATCGAATTGAATCGAATCGTGGATCGAATCGATTCTAGAAATCAGTGACGATACCCAGCTCTAACAATACGCAGGCAAAAAATGTAAACGGAAATTTACACTAAACATTTTCAAACAATGAAATCCGAACTGAAATAATAAAACTATTCTGCGTTTTTTGAACAGATTCCTTTCTGAGGAATCGATCCAGCACCGATCATGAAGCCACAGCTATGATGAAGGCTCAGTTTATGACTTTGTGGGATGGACTCGAAACAGACCACCAGTGCCAGGTATGCACACGTCGGAATAGCTTGGGTTCAGTATGGAGTCTCAAGAGATTCACTGACTTGTGGATGTGTTATGGAGTGGAATTTGTCTCAAAAGGGTTGCAAATGCGTACAATGTGATCCACAAGCATAAATTGATTTACAAATGTTTACAGGGATTTGTGTGTAACGTTTGAGGACACGTGAGCGCATGCTTCAATCCACACGCAAATAAGAAGCAATCTGACCACACGTAAAACTATTTTACAAATGCCTACATCTAAACCTGATTAAAAACAGATCATCACCAGTGGAAGCCTAGATGTCCAAGTTTTACACTGGGACTTGGAAAGCAGCTTACATTTCTGGATCTGTGCAAAGCTGGCAGCGTTAAATTTGTCTCAAAACCCTGCAACATGATCTGTGCATATCAGGTGATTCTTAGTATTTAAGGTTTTATAGGTGAGCAAAATAGATACGGTCAGGGCTGGACTGGCACAAAAAATCGGCCCGGGCATTTTGACTAGAGACCGGCCC